CCTGCCAGATAGTTGGAATGCTACAGTCACAGCTGTGAGTAGCTCATCGGGAAATAACAAGTTGAAGTTTGATGACGTTCGTGATCTGGTTCTTAGTGAGGAGATTCGACGAAGAGAATCAGGTGAATCTTCATCCTCTTCAGTATTGCATACAGAGTCAAGAGGAAGAAATTTAATCAGAAGGAATGAACGCGGAAGATCAAACTATCGAGGGCAATCCAGAGATAGGAGGTCAAAATCCAGGAATCCAAATAATTTCCAAAACTCAAAGACTGTGGAGTGTTGGAATTGTGGAAAGATTGGGCACTATAAAAATCAGTGCAAGGGAACACCAAAAGGCAAAGAAGTGAAGGCAGAGGCAAATGTCACTTCTACCGGAGAAGGTGATGATGCGTTGATATGCTCATTGGAGAGCAAAGAAGAGTCTTGGGTATTAGACTCTGGAGCATCGTTCCATGCTACTTCTAATAAAAACTTTTTTGAGAAGTATGTCCATAGAAACCTTGGACAGGTATACCTTGGTGATGACCAACCTTGTGATATTGTTGGTCAAGGTAATGTCAAAATTAAGTTAAATGGGTCAGCTTGGGAGCTGAAGGATGTCAAACATGTTCCCGACCTAAGAAAGAACTTGATCTCAGTTGGGCAGTTGGCTCGTGAAGGTTATACTATAATCTACAAGGTGATAATTGGAAGATTTCAAAGGGAGAAATGATAGTTGCTCATGGTAAAAATAATGGTACTCTCTATTTGACAGTTGGAGCGTGTTATTCGATTGCAGTTGCAACAGAGAATGAAAATTCCAAGTTATGGCACCAAAGACTTGGTCACATGAGTGAGAAAGGAATAAAGATCATGCATTCAATTGGAAAACTCCCTAGTCTAAAATCTGTGAATTTAGACATGTGTGAAGAATGCATACTTGGAAAACAGAAGAGGGTAAGCTTTCAGACATATGGAAGAGCTCCAATGAAAGAAAAATTGGAGCTTGTTCATTCTGATGTGTGGGGACCAACAACCACCCAGTCTATAGGTGGAAAACAGTACTTTGTGACTTTTATTGATGATCACTCTAGGAAAGTATGGGTTTACTTTCTAAAATACAAGTCCGAAGTGTTTGAAGTTTTCAGGATATGGAAAGCTAGGGTTGAAAATGAAACAGGTCTGAAGATCAAAAGATTCAGGTCCGACAATGGCGGAGAATATGAGGACACCAAATTCAAGAAGTTTTGCTACGAGCATGGCATTAAGATGGAAAGAACTGTGCCAGGTACGCCTCAGCATAATGGCATAGCTGAGCGGATGAACTGAACATTGACAGAAAGAGCCAGAAGCATTCGTATACAGTCAGGTCTACCAAAACAATTCTGGGCAGAAGCAGTCAATACAGCAGCTTACTTGATCAATCGAGGACCATCAACCCCATTAGAGTACAAATTACCAGAGGAGGTATGGAGCGGCAAAGAGATCAAATTGTCGCACTTAAAGGTATTTGGTTGTGTAGCTTATGTGCACATTAGTGATCAAGGCAGAAATAAGCTTGATCCTAAATCAAAAGTTTGCACTTTTATCGGTTATGGCGAAGATGAGTTCGGATACCGCATTTGGGATGATGAAAGCAAAAAGAATATTCGTTCAAGAGATGTAATTTTCAATGAGAGAGTCATGTACAAAGATAGGCATAAAATTGAGAGTTATGAAACAAATCAAAAAGAATCTACATTCATTGATGAAGATTATGTCCCAGACAGTACGATGCAAGAGTACACTATCATAAGTACTCCGCAACAAGAAGAACAGATTGTACAGGGCAGTACATCGCAATCAAATGACATACAACAACCTTCTTGTCCAACTCCTACCCTAAGAAGGAGTACTCGACCACATGTGCCTAATAGGAAATATATGAATTATTTGTTATTAACTGATGATGGGGAACCAAAAGATTATTATGAAGCATCCCAGACCAGAGATGCTAGCAAGTGGGGGCTTGCAATGAAAGATGAAATGCAATCCCTGATTTCAAACCAGACATGGGAACTAACTGAGTTACCCATAGGTAAGAAGGCCCTTCATAACAAATGGATATATCGAGCAAAAAAGGAGCACAATGATTCCAAGAGGTATAAGGCTCGACTAGTTGTCAAAGGTTTTCAACAGAAAGAAGGAGTTGATTATAATGAGATATTCGCTCCTGTTGTGAAACTCAATACCATTAGAACAGTGTTGAGTATTGTTGCAATTGAAGATCTTTATCTCGAGCAGTTAGATGTGAAGACTGCATTTCTTCATGGAGATCTTGATGAAGAAATATACATGCACCAGCCAGAAGGTTTTATAAAAAGTGGGAAAGAGCAGATGGTATGCAAACTTAAGAAAAGTTTATACGGGCTAAAACAAGCCCCAAGACAATGGTACAAAAAGTTTGATAACTTCATGCACAAGGAAGATTTCCAGAAGTGCAACGCTGACCACTGTTGCTACTTCAAGAGATATCAATCCAGTTATATCATCCTATTACTTTATGTTGATGATATGTTAATAGCAGGTTCTGATATGAATGATATTATAAAGTTGAAGCATCAATTGTCAAAGGAATTTGACATGAAGGACTTGGGTCCAGCAAAGAAGATTTTAGGAATGCAAATCACAAGAGATAAGCAGAGAGGCACTTTGTAGTTATCACAATCAGAGTACATCAAACGTGTTCTTCAGAGATTTAATATGGGTGATGCTAAGCCTGTTAGTACACCGTTGGCGAGTCATTTTCGTCTATCAAAGGATCAGTCCCCTCAGACAGATGAAGATAAAGAATATATGGCCAAGGTTCCTTATGCCTCGGCTATTGGAAGTTTGATGTATGCAATGGTTTGTACAAGACCAGATATTGGACATGCAGTGGGAGTTGTAAGCAGGTTTATGTCCAATCCAGGAAAAGTCCATTGGGAAGCTGTTAAATGGATTTTGAGGTATTTACGAGGTACAATTAATAAGTGTGTGTACTTTGGTAAAGGTGAATTGAAAATACAAGGTTACGTTGATGCAGACTTTGGCAGTGAAGTCGATAATAGAAAGAGCACAACGGTTATGTATTTACAGTTGGAAATACAGCCGTAAGTTGGATGTCCCAACTACAAAAGATTGTTGCTTTATCAACTACAGAAGCTGAGTATGTGGCAGTGACCGAAGCTAGTAAAGAGATGATATGGCTTCAAGGTTTGTTAGATGAGCTGGGGTTCAAACAAGTGAATAATATTTTGTATAGCGATAGTCAGAGTGCTATACATTTAGCAAAGAATTCGGCGTTTCACTCAAGAACAAAGCACATCGGTATTCGTTATCACTTTATCAGGTCTCTTCTAGAAGATGAAGTGTTAACTCTTAAAAAGATTCTTGGCAGTAAGAATCCAGCAGACATGTTAACGAAAACAGTGACGATTGATAAGTTGAAATTGTGCTCAACATCAATTGGTGTTAAAATGACAGAAGACTAGTTGAGGTTCTACTCCTTGGTGTGAAGACAGATTGAAATCAGTCTTCAAGTGGGAGATTGTTGGCAAATAATTTCAAGAGAAAATCTGAGAGAAGAAAAATAACTCAGAGAAAAGAGGGGTTGTGTTTTTTGCACTTTGGTATAAATAGACATTTTGTTTATGTAATTTATTTCTCCCTCAAATTTGATTAAATAGAAAATTTGCATTATTTTCTTAACAAGTACATATACATACATAGTCTTGACCAAATCAAATCCATTTAAATTTCATTTTTCTTAGGTCTAAAAGAGATTTGGAAACCACAAATCATCAGAATTAAACAAAAGGAGAATAGTAAAGTACTCCATTTATCCTTTTATCACATGCTTGTATTTTTTTTTGGGTCATTAAAATCAAATATCTGTTTCTATTTATAGGTTGTACTTTTTTACAATATTATTCTTTTTTTTTTTGATGATTTGTCATTCATTTTTTTTATATTTTTTTTTGTACTTTAACATCAATTCCCAATATTTTTTCTCTCCTAATGTCCAACCACTTTTTCTTTCTCTTTATCTCTCTAATCCCACGTGCATATTTATTAGTTTTAAGTAATCTTTTAACTTTCTTAACTTACGTGCAAAATGAGAAATAGGCATGTAATACGGAGTATTAAGTAAACTTCGTATATGTGTAATACTCCTGTACAAGTATACAGCTAATAGTCTAATACAAGTCAATATCACATTGAAAAAAAAAAAAAAACATGGACATCTCTTCAATACTGTGTTGACATTTTATGTCATCACACCCACAAACAAGTCTTTATTTCTTCATTCTTCAATCACAATCAACGGCTCTAAATCCACCATATTCCAACCCATAGCCTTTTACATTTAACGGGAATTTTTTGATCTAAACCTTTGTTTCTTGGATAATCACTAAAATAGTAAATTAATTATAGGATAAATCTCGTTCTTAAAAGTCTTATCCTTATTTTTCTTTTGGGTTTCCCCCCACTTGCTTTACAAAAGGATTTCCTATAAAACTAACAGATATGACACTTAGTTTTACACACAATTTTGACTAGTAATGTTTGTAGTTAATTAGTGCCTGTTCTCTTCAACTTAATTTTAGTTCAGTTTATTCTAATTAATTCAGATCAGCTCTTAATTTCCTTCTCTCATAACAACTCATTTCAGCTCTATTAAGCTCATTTCAATTCAGCTCCAATTAGTTTAGTTCAATTCAGATCCAATCAGTTCAGTTCAATTCAGATCCAATCAGTTCAGTTCACTTCAGATTCAATCAATTTAGTTCAGTTTATCAGAGTAAACCCTTAATATAACGAGATAAATATAACAAAATTTTACCTACTATAGTTTTTTTTATAATGGACTATGTAACCATGTTAGTTAAATATCACTTAGGTTCATTTATGTAGTAGTGTAAGGAGTATCATACTATCATTTATTATCGATAACCTGATGACTACTTAGCCTTTGGTTAGAACCATATTACATTAACACATTTCAAAACCCAAAATGGCAAAATTGAATTCCGATTATATCATTGCGGAGATCTATCGGCGCTAAAAAAAGAAAATACCCAAAACGAATTACTCTATTTTGGTATGCTTCATTTACTCCCACAGTACCTCGCTGGAAAATTGCATTTCTAAAGATTCCCTGGGCTTATGAACATGAATGTGATATTATTTCTTACTTTCTCTCTCCTCTTTACAGGGTAATAGAGATCTTCAACACTTTCACCTTTCCACTTCCAATCATTTCCCCTCCAAAAATCATCTTCAAACCGCTTTGAATGAAGTAAAAAACAAAGGGGTTACTCTCTGCTCATTGTATTTTGGTGGAAAGCAGCTGATTTCAAGCACATTTTGTGGTAATTCTGATTCATATTTCTGGACTAATTTCATTCCCAAGTTGAAATCTTTAAATTTTCTGCTCATTTAAGATTCTGGGTGTTGCTTAATTTTTGGTGGGTTTTAATAGATATGAATTTCTGCTGATTTGGTTTTAGATTTTTCGATCTATTGCTTAGTTTTTCATGTAATCTGGGTTAGATCTTCATGGTATGATATTGGATGAGTTGGGCAAATTTGAAGTGTTAAATTGGAAATTTATGCTCCCAAAAGTTTGGAAATGGGGTTTGGGCATGGTTTATGCTGCTGTGGTTTCGAAAAGTATGCGAGAAGTTAGTGTTTGATGTGAATTGTAGATTGATTTCTGCATTGGGGTTGTAGTTTTACTGATATTGTTTGAAGAAGAAGTTTTGGAGTGAGAATCTGATTGTCTTCTTTAGAAAAATCAAGTGTTCCTAAAATTGGATTTCAGGGATAAATACAAGTATCTGCCTGTGTATTGAGGGTGACTAGATTAGTTTAAATGGCTTCCATTAGAAGAACACTTTCTCCGGTTCCACGACCAGGTTCGAGATCAAATGGTGAAGCCTGCTCGGTGGCTTCTCCGTTATCCAAATCATCCTCAGCTGAGAAGAACCCTCTACAGCCTAGTGGATTATCGTATTCGTCTTTTAACTCGTTGGAGTATGCATTGTATAGGGTGCATAATTTTGTTCTTGGTTTGTTCTCACATAGATCATCGCGCTCCCTAGATAGATCAAAATCGAAGGGGCATGTATGGAAGAGGGCTATCCTGCATTTCTCTGTCTTCTTTTTGTTTGGTGTCTTCATTGGATTGACTCCTTTTGGTACATCGAATTTTCCGGGAAGAATTATGCCCCAGCATCAGACTCTCTTCTTTGACATGATCCCTTCTGCAGTTAGATATCATTCTGTAAGTGCAAGAAATGTTTCTTCTATAGATGAGACCCAACTGGAAAATCATACATCAATAGCTGGGACACAGGATATTGAGAATGCTACTTTGCAAGAGCAACATCAAGAGTCAAAAGTGCAGATGGAAAGGATGGCAAGCGAAACACTTACTGTTAAATCAGACATTGAGAATCCACCATTGGAAGCTCGTAAACTCTTGATAGTTGTCACCCCTACATATCCTCGGCCATTCCAAGCTTACTATCTCAATCGGTTGGCACAAACATTGAAACTTGTCCCACCACCTTTGGTATGGATTGTCATTGAGATGAACTCTCAATCTGCAGAAACAACACAGATTTTGAGGAAGACTGGACTTATGTACAGACATCTGGTTTGCAATAAGAACATAACAGATGTGAGGGACAGATATGTTCACCAGAGAAATGTGGCTTTGGCACACATTGAAACACATCGTCTTGATGGAATTGTCTATTTTGCAGATGATGTGAATGTCTACTCTCTAGATCTTTTTGCAGAGTTGAGGCAGATAAGGTATTGTATTTCGTGGCTGTTGTTCAATTTCCTATATCCAATTAGTAGTTTAAAGTTGATCGTATGGATTTGTATCTGTATTTTTCTTCTAAACTCTTGTTTAAATTTTGAGTTTGTCAAATGTAGGCAAAAGTACTTATGACCATTAGGCCATTATATTTTCGCTTATTTTCTAGTTTTCTCTTGATTTTCCATGGAAATTCTCATTTTGAGATCTTGGTCAAATCAAGAAGAATGTTGACTGCTTCATTATAAAATCATAATCATCCTTAGCTCCCTTTTTTATGTGTTTATTATATACTATGTCTGTTTGTGTCCTGGGTCATGCAGCTTTAACAAATTTACAAAGGGAAAACAACTGACTAGTCTTGCAGCAGAAATTGTTTATCACATCCTATTTTAGTTTATGCACCTGCCTCGGAGGTCAAAAATGCTATAAATTACTCCATATAAGTATATTTTTAGGAGACTGAAAAAGGATAAATAAGTTTTTCTTTTGGTTGATACCCCATGCACCTTAGTGGCTCTGCTACTGAGTTGATGTCTACCATCTCAACATGTATTCATCTTCATATTAAGTTTATATGTATTGTTGGGTCATGCTTTGATCAGTTTCTTTGAGTATGAGCACAATAAATTATTGTTTGCCACTGGTGGTTTCACAATAGAAGAGCTATTAGGCTACCTAACTTGCTAAGCGTTATTCACCGCACTGGAAAGAAAGATATAGTTATTTATTTATTTTCTCATAATAAGCTAGTTTCAGTTGGTTGACCACTTGACGTGCTTCCATATGGATCAATTAATTGGGTTTTGGTGAGAATTTCGATGTTTTTTTGGAGGTGTAGGATTCAACTCTGCATTTTTTCCTCTTGAAAAGCACATAAGAATGGGGATATTGGGCTTCTGAACTTTTACCCTTCTGGGTATATATGAATGTCTGTCTCCTGGCAGTGGCCTAGTAATTTACTAAATGAGCAATGATTTTAGTTTTTTGGAGAATCCTCTTAGAAAGCATTTCTCTGTCAATTAGATTTATGCCAACTAGTTTTATGGTGGAAGGGGTTCGCTATTTTTTATTTTTTATTTTTTTTGCCAAAGCCCTTTGTAGTTGGTCCCACATTAACAAGGGGTTCTTTAAGACTGAATAGGAGTGTAATAGATAGTACATTTTAATATCTATAACTTGTCAGTCTCTATCTATTGCCTTTCCTCTAATGCTTTTTGGTTCGTTGCATATGATTCCAGGAGATTTGGGACTTGGAAATTGGCCAAACTTTCAGTGATTCGTGGTGCAACTTTTCATGATGGTCCTGTATGTAATGGGAGTCAAATTATTGGTTGGAAGACTGATGAAATGACTCGAAGATTTCATGTGGATAATTCCGGATTTGCTTTCAATAGTACCATACTATGGGATCCAAAGAGATGGCATCGTCCTATCCTTGAGCCTATACGGCAGCTTGACACGGTGGAAGAGAAATTCCAAGTTGGTTTCTTAAATTTTTTTTGTGCAATTATTGTCTTGGCAAAGTGTGCAATTTCTATCCTTCTAGCTGGCAGAGTTAGGTTATCAAATTTGTGCAGTTTTGTGCTTGCAAGGATACTTAACATTGATCTAAATGATAATGATATTCCATTTCCGTTAATCCATGTCTCTGCTCAAATGGGATTATCTTTGACAAGAAAACTATTACAGAAATGTGGTCCATGTATCTCTTACTTGTCAGTTCTTACTATATTTGGTTTCAAATGAGCGTCTTATAGAAACAAAACTCAAGATTATATTTTTGCCAATCATATTGGTGTATGACAGATGCATTTGGCATTTTGTGTGCTGTCTTCATATTGGTGTTAGAGCTAATGGATTTTCCATTTATTATGCCTTACAGGTGAGTACATTTGTTGAGCAAGTTGTCGAAGATGAAAGCCAAATGGAAGGGTTGCTAGGGAATTGCTCGAGCATCATGGTGTGGCGCCTTCCACTTGAATCATCTTCCTCATCTTACCCTCACCAGTGGGTCATAAGCAGGAATGTGGAGAAGCAATTAACATCTAAATAGTCTGATTGATCTAAAGTGAGAAGGTATAAGAATTCCTCTGTTTATCAATTTATTTTTTTAATTAGTTTAACAATGCTCTAAAAAGACATTGGCTTTATGAATGCGTTGTTGTCTTGTTGACCTAAGTTAACTATTCCATACTCATATACGGAGTATTTCAATTAGATTGGCAATGTTTTAGCTACTCGGGCTTTACCTGAAACCTCGATGACCAGGGAGAGATTTCTTGATGACTACGGGCTTTACAAGGATTTTTCCTCCAAAATTAGCATTAACCCCATCATGGTATCTCTGACCTTTTAAAATTCTCACCTTACAATCATTATAACCACATGATCCCTAAGGATTTCGGTTCCTATGCTTAGTTGCTCAACCCAGACAAAGACCATGTGTGACTATTCTTCCAAATTGCCTGAAAGCCAACTTCCTAATCATGATCCCTAAGGATTTCGTTTCCTATGCTTAGTTGCTCAACCCAGAGAAAGACCATCCCAGAGAAAGACCATGAGTGACTATTCTTCCAAATTGCCTGAAAGCCAACTTCCTAATCATGTGAAACCTTATTACTATGAGTTTATGGCAGTTGAAGTGATGTCTTTATGGACTAGCTATTTGGAGAAATAGTATGTTGAGATACTAATATATAGTAGTCCATATATAATATTATATATGTCTTCCCCCTCTCATAGAATTTTTTTCTCCCTATCCATTTTCATGTATATATATTTTTCTAATAACAATTTACCGCTTTATGTTTATGCTTCACCCTCAACTATAATTCTAAATAGTTAATGATTGAAATATCGAAAATTTGTGAATTCTGTGGCATCTTAACTTTCTTAAGCATTTGTTTAATGTGTTGGGCATAATCCCCCTTCTAAGTAGCTGTAAAGCTAGTGATGCTTTGATGAGTTGACTTCTATCTAATTTCCTTTTGTACTGATTATCTTGTTCATTTGAAATGCAGAAAGAAAAGTAGCTATAAGCATATAACAACTGCACAATCTACCTTTGGCAGCAGAATCAAGGATTCTTGTGCTGCGATCATGAAATCAAGACACCAACTGCAGGTTATACTAAGATTAACGCCCCCCACAAGAAGAAGATGGAGTGTATCTAGGATTTTAAAATTTCCCCCGTAAGGTTAGGCATTGTTTTTGTACAGATCTTCAGTTATGTTCTGCCCTTCGAGTTGGCTGACTTACTTTATATTGATTTTTGCCTTTGTAAAGATGCAGAAGTGCGTTGAAATTTTAATGCTAGGATGTTAAAATTGTTCAAACTAGATTGAGTGATCGAGGGAGTTGATGCCCATTTGTGCATTTATTCTTTGCTAGTCTCAGGCTCGTGAAAAATTGTAACTCATGTTGTTGGTCCTTGGTTGTGAGGAGGTTCATTGATACATCTCTGTGCCTACAAGCTTTATGCTTATCAGTTATATCTTTCATATATACCGTAGATATGAAATTATTCTGTAATTTCTTGAAATTCTTTGTTCCTTTTTGAATTGTTTGAGAATAAACAGCAAACTTGGAAGATCAGTATAATAATGTGTAAGCTTATTATATGTATGGTCCACTTGTTCCTTTCTATAAAGCAAAATGAAGAGAATAGCAAGCAATGTAAAAGTTCAGAAGAGTCAGATTTGGTTATGTTTAACTTGTTAATACTGCAATCAGACTAATCTCATCAGTCAGTCAGTCAGGTTAGTCATAATTTGGGCTACCAGGGACAGCTCGGTTTTCTTTTGTGTCGAACCATTTTTCAATTACTTTTATCGCATTGCTTTGCCTTTCCGACAGAAAAACTGTGTTCAGAACTCCTTTGGGCGGATTCTAATCGAGCTTTAGGATCTGATAAAATATTGTCGAAAATGTTATCACAATCATTAATTAATAACAAGGGCTGATTAGTGATAGTGATGAATTGCAGGTAAGAATAACTTAACACCTGCAATTCCTTTATGCTCATCCTAGTAAAAAAAACATCCAAAAGATGGTGATGGGGCCAGATTATTTGAAATGGTATGAGTGCATTTCACTCCATCTTTCTTCTTTGCTTCATAAATTGAAGTATCACACCTCTCTTCTGTTTCCTTCTTTCCTCCATAGCTCTGATTTCTTGCCCATGATCGATCTCATCCTCCTCGCATTCCTTTATGGTACCTTCTTTTCGTGTATGATTCTTCTAGCTGTCTTTGCCATCGTACTTTGCCTCTTACTCGCGTTTCTAATTTCTCTCTTCTTGCTCGCCCTTGTAGACGTTTATGAAACCTTCTTGCTGTTATCCTCCTATTTCGAAACACTAAGAGCTGATTTCATGTTGGGCGTAATTTTGGCACTTTACACTGCACTACATCATGCAGTTTGTGTTGCTTTGTCCTTCAAGCCATGGGTTCAACGCGTATTTTTTCGGCGTAAATTGGTTCGTCACAAAGGCTGTCATTCATTCTGATGCACATTGCTTTGTATGTTCAGTACTCGTCTCTAGATTTATCGATGATCGATGGGCGACTTTGCACATTTTTGGGGGTGACAATGACCCCCATTTTATAGATAAAGGTTATTTTTGGAAATTTTTTTATGATGGTTACAACTTCATTTTAACCATTTTTGCAATAAATATTTTAACCCTATTGATAGTAAGTATGCTAATCAATACATTGAGTTTGAAGTCAAAATTATTTGTATTTAAGTGGATGATCGACTATAAGTTGATTAAAGTTTTGAGGGATGATACTCAAAACTTGAGATTAAATCTCGTCTACATCATTTGCCATTGTAGCTCTCTCTTAAAAAAAAAAAAAACATTTTTATAGCCATTATAAAACTTTCTTTGAATAAAAAATGATTGATTTCTGAATTAGATTTACCTCTAATAATTGCTTTCATTGTATTACACATACATTGTTTTTGTAAATATATTGATCATTAATGAATAAAATTAAAGCAATTGATTGAAGATAAGTTTGTCCCTTGTTGATTTTAAATTGTTGATTTGTACTTGTATGTTGCAAAGAGTTACTAGTATAATAACTTGCTGGATTGAACTTTTAAATTGAACTTTTTATGAGACATGTAAAATCCGTTGTTTCTTTTTGTTTGTCTGGTCGAAGATTTTGTTACCTTTTTAATTTATGATTTTGTGGACTTGAAAAGAGATATGATTAGTGAAATGTAGGGACGTGATTTTTAAGTTATAGTTCCTCATTTTATATCCTTGTAGTCGTTTACAAACTCAAAGTGAAAAAAAAGAAAAATAAAAATGGTGCTACAGTACAAAAGGGATGGGAAATGAAGAAATGCTTGTTTTATGGCTAATTAATCATCTCACTTAACGATAACTTTTTATCATTTATTAAAGCATGTATGTCAAAGTCAAAGAGAGGGTGAAACTAATTACATCAACTACTTGTGGCTTATGGCTTATAGATAGATGCACAATGAGCTTATTGTAAACATGATCCATGTAAAAAAATTTAAAGTCATATTTGATTTTAATCTTTCTCCACCTAATACTTCTATTTATAAATCTATAATGATATTTTCTTTTGTTAAATTCAATTAAAATGGATATGGCCCATAATCTTAATCAAATTGAAACAGGTGTCCAATAAAGATTTGAGAAAGATTATATCTAATAATGCTTGAGCAATTCTAGATCTTGAAACAATCCATTCTCGAATCATAGTTAGGAAAAAAAAAAAAAGTGATGCTATCAGTTGTTCAAATGGACTAAAAAATGTTTATATTGTGAAGCTAATCAATAACATACCTAACATGACGACTTGAATTCAAACTCTATTGGACTTCACATAATTCGCTATTACACTAACCAAAATGGATGATTACAAGTTAACCTTGAGATCAAATGGATAAAAGTAAAACGACAAATAAATCAATAACTTTTTATCCACAATTAATATATTTGCGAAAATATGATCGAATATTTTGTTAATTTATTAACACTTTTATCATTTGATCAAAGAACAAATTAATAAAGCGGGATATGGGCTTTCTCACCAAAAATTAGCGTAAGTTGCTACTCAAAATGATACAGTCTTACTCGAGTAAGAAGGACGTAATTAGAAATTACTCAGTACATTACTAATCTTACTCCGTACCATGCATAAATTATCCTAAATACAATACGAACAATCCATTTGTCTTTAGTCAATCCGTTGGCCTCTAATCAGGCCATTCAATCCTCACTCGTTACAAAATTGCCTATTCCATCGAAATTGAACAATTCATTAACAATATTTTTCCTAAACCCAGTTCCTCCACATAATCACCCTAAAACTTGGCTGCATATTTGACACAATTTCACTCTTTACATTTCATTTTATATACATTTTTCTTCTCTCAATAGTCAATTCTATTGCATTGAATTAATTTATTTCAAGTATCATAAAGAATGAGTTTTTCAGCAACTGATCTTTCTTTTGGACTATCATCATCTTCAATCACTTTACAATCAATAAAACCCCACAAAATTTCCAACCCATTTGACAGTTTACCCTTTTCCAATTTTCAAATACCCTCAAATTTAAGGCTTCAAACTACTAGTAAAAGGAGTTTAATCCTTCATTCTTCAATGGCAGAAAGTGGGGTTTCTCCAGAATCTTCTGTAATGGCGGAGGAGAGAGAAAATGTTGCCATTAATCCTGTTTATGTTCCTACTCCCCCAAATCGTGAGCTTCGGCCTCCTCATAGTGGGTAATTTTCTTCATTTTTTTCTTTTGGGTTTCAATTTCAATTTGCATGCGTTTGATTTGGATTGTAAGTATAAGAAATTAATTTGATTAATTCAGTTTTCTTTTGGTCTATATACTCCATGTTTGTGTGTTTTGCCGTTGTTTAATGCCATTATATTGCATAACCGAATAGGTCTTGTATACACCGAGTGTATAATATGTAACATATTTAGTCACCCCGAATCATACAAGTGCCACTCCATTGTAAAAATTGACTTTTATGTGATTTGGGATGACGGAGTTTGATGTATGCAATGCACTCGAAATCAATTGATTAGACCTTTTAACCCCCAATTGTGCTAAAAGCAGGAATATACCTGAAAAAGGGAACCTTGAACAAAATTTTATACCCCACTAACCAAAGTTATGTGACCCAATTTGACTTGTATTAGCTAGTCTAACTTTGACTTTCCTTTAGGAGTGGCTAAATAGTGGTGTTTGTGCACATTCTTGAGTTCAAACAAAATATTATAGAAATTTATTTACAATTGGGTGGAATCTGTAATATTCACTTGTACTGCCTCTTTGGATATCCTGAAATCATTGATGACTAATGACATGGCTTATTCAATAATGTCTTACTGGGATATAGTTGCAATTAGAGTAGATTTGGGCTTTTCGATGACATTGTATCGTTGATCCATCTTGATCAATAGTAACTATAAGAACACCTGGTGGGAATAAAAACGCGTTAGTGAAGCATTGTCGATGTTGTTGATAGGTGTGATGTGCTAAGCCTTGTCCAAGGAAATACAAGTAGCTATTATGTTTTCATCTTTTAATGTTTACCTGCAGAAAGTTGTGTTTCACATGCTATTACCTTTTCTGAAAACATAGGATAGCTCCCATCTTGTTTAAAAGATTGAATTTATCAATCTATTCGAGCTTGTGGCGTGCTTTCTTACAATTTAATATTCTGTGTGTTGTTTGCTGTTGAGACTGCACATTTGTAAAATGTAAAATCTTATGCTTAGTTTCTTTTGTGTCCTTTGTATTTGAGTGACTACTGAATTTTAAATGATGTCTATTCTGTTTTCTACTTTGGAAGGTATCATTTCGATGGAAGTCCTAGGCAATTTTTTGAGGGCTGGTATTTCAAGGTCTCTATTCCAGAAAAGAGGCAAAGCTTCTGCTTCATGTATTCAGTTGAGAATCCTGCATTCCGCAAGAAATTGACCCCTGTAGAAGAAGCAAAATATGGCCGTCGATTTACTGGAGTTGGAGCTCAGATTCTTGGTGCTGATGACAAGTACATTTGCCAGTATTCGGAAGAATCACAGAAATTCTGGGGTGGTAAGTTACTGGGTTATGCCATTTTATACATGTGTCCTTTGCAATGTCATTGCAGATGAGCTTATAGATTGGTAAGATTAGTGGATTTACATATGTTATTCAAGCGACTGGTGCTGCCTTTTTCTGTGAATGTTTTTCAGTATGTTAATTTATTATCCTAGAGTTATTTTATTTTAAAATATTATTCTTCAATCCATTGGAAAAAAAAGGGAAAATGAAAGGCTTGTATGTTACTGTAAGAAAGGCCCTTTGGCTTTTCCTTTGTGAGCTTTGTACATTTAGATCTTTTTTCTAAGTTAGGCCTATAATATTTTTCATAGCACACAGTAAGTTGTGCCCATATAGTTTACTACAAAAAATTGCAAAAACGTTAAGCCATTATTTTCTATCTAGCATTACCGTTTGAAGTACTTCTTGTACCCCAACACTAAATTAAATCTTTTTTTACATATAGACAGGCATGAGCTAATGTTGGGACATACATTCAAATCTAGTGGAAGTTCACAGCCTCCCACCAAAGAGGTTCCTCCAGAGGTGCCATATACTTCAACTATATTTTGTATTTATAATTTTATATCTTTGCATTTATGAAAAGCAAGCTACTTGTTTTGACATTTGCTTGATTTTGTATTAGTATATAGTTTCTGGAATGACCTTTTATATAATTTTTGTCTGGTGATTTCTTTTTTAATCCTATATTAAAATACTATATGGATTATGGAGTTTTCAGTTTTCACAATTGTTATTTGTTAATAGAAGACTTTTAGTACCATTGCTGCTGATATTTTTGACTGTAATCTTTGATAGGAATTCAATAGGAGTGTGTCTGAGGGTTTCCAAGTGACCCCACTTTGGCATCAAGGGTTCATCTGTGACGATGGCAGGTGAAATCTTTTCCAGTTTCTCAGTATTGTCACCCTCTGGAGGCTCTTTTGTCATGTAATTGTTATATTATATTCCTGATTTTTTTTATGTGCATGTGTTACTGTATGACTTATTTCTGTGCATGTGTTACTATATGGCTTAGAGCTAGTTTGCTACGACATTTCTTCTCAAGACTTAAAAACCTCAAAATATTACAATAGCTGATTTTGATTATTAATGGTGTTCAGGGTTGCTTGTTTGCTTCTAATATGCATAATTTTTATTTTATTTTGGGGTTACTCTTGCATCATTGATGTTTTTGGTTATTTAAAGTATGTGTAATATTAGGCTTTTTTAGCAAGTCACCTGCCTGCAGTTTGACTCCCCTGAGTCCCCCCTCTGTTTTTATGTCAAGCACCCTTCTCCAATTTCAATGGGCAAATACTGTGAACATGGAAAGAATTATTAGTTACATTATGGGTCTTCTGTTTGAAGCTCTTACTCTGAGCATCTTTCTTCGGCTTAATATTTCCCTCATTAATAGCTTACTTGCTTTCTTGGGAGATTTTTAACTTTATTTTAAATCAAATATGCACTTATTATTTCTGTGCAAGTTAGTGTTCTTGGACTTGGTATTATACTTTTTGTTGACTCACATTACACATTATGTCTTTTGCTGACAGGTCAGACTATGTTGAAACAGTGAAAACAGCTCGCTGGGAGTATAGTACTCGTCCTGTATATGGCTGGGGCAATGTCAGTTCAAAACAAAAATCCACTGCGGGCTGGCTTGCTGCTTTTCCTGTTTTTGAACCTCACTGGCAAGTATGCATGGCAGGGGGACTGTCAACAGGTACAATTCTATGTTCTCAATAGATCTCTGGCTTAATGAGTGTTTCATTGGTACTTGTGTAGTTGAAAGGCATGAAATGTCGCCTACGTAAAATGTGTCGGTAAGGGTTACTTTGATAGTCTTGAGATGTATTATATCTTTTTCTCCCTTTTATTACTATGTTGTTACCGTCATACTAATTTTAATTCTCTTTTGTACTCTTTTATGAATCAAGGTTTTACATCCTGTGCTCATTACAAATTCATTGCAAAAGTATGAAATGAATTTTAATATGATGTTATTAAGAGTATTAATAAAAAAAACACGAGAAGCTATACTCACTAGACTATCAGTAGTCTTATTGTGTCTCGATTGTACATTTGAAGTTGAAACATATTCTCATGCTTTCAAAACTGGTCTGATTGTTGTGGGCATGGCAATAAATTATTTTTTAGAGGCAGTTCTGTACCTTATGCACTTAAACATAATATTTAGAGCTGAAGTATCTTGCTGGGTTTTACTCTATTCTGTTGTATTTAAGCCTGATCATGATTTTGATTTCAGGATGGATAGAGTGGGATGGTGAAAGATTTGAGTTTGAAAATGCTCCTTCATATTCAGAAAAGAATTGGGGTGCAGGTTTCCCCAAAAGATGGTTTTGGGTAAATGCAATACTCCCCATCTCTGATTTGTGTACTTATTTTTATGGTTGTAAGCTCTTAGACACAAATTCAAGAAGAAACATTGTTGAATGATCACCTCAAAATTGGATATTTTGTGCTATATGTGAAACACTGAGTTGGCTGTATTTTCCTGGGTGCTAAATATGATAGTCATGCAGTTCTTGGCCTCTTGGGTTAGTTGGCAATGCTAAGCTGTTTCTTCTATATTCTAAGGATGAATAGACTCTTTGCCTACAATTTCTATTCCAAATTTGAGCTTTACATATTGCCATGACTTTAAAAAACTCTCACACAAGATTTAAGGACTTAAGGTCAATATAGCATTTTGATAAACAAGATCTTCTGCTTGAAAAAATTCCATTTTTTTTTGTTTTTTGTTTTTTGTTTCCCTTATAAACAGACTGTTGGGGTTATCTTTCCCATAATTTCAAAATCCTTCAAGAAGGCAACAATTTTTGAAGTAAATTTGATTTTGCAAATGTAATCTTTGCCTATATGCTGTTTACTAAATTATTTTGCCTTTGTGTGGGCATATGTTCCTATCTTCTGCTTGTCATTTTATTTTGCCTCTTTCTCTGAATAATTTATAAAATTGATGGCTATTGGTTTATTTAGTTGATCCATATGACTTGTCAACTTGGCTTGGGTAGGCTGTTGAAGATATCCACCATTTCATGAACTATGAATTTATGAATAGATGCATTAGATAATTATTATTTTGCTGTATGATTTAGCATTGTAGGAATTTCTAAACTTTTGTTGTTGCCTTGTCCTTGCTGCTCAAGGTGCTTCCTGGATTTGAGGCTTTTTCTATCTGTGTTGACAGTGTCTAGTGACTAGCTACTGGAGTAGTGGAGTCTCAATGCAGAATGTTATGTTTTTGTCTAATCTGTGGACAACACTAAATATGTTCACTTCCTTTTCCAGGTCCAGTGCAATGTCTTTGAGGGTGCTAAAGGAGAAGTCGCTTTGACTTCTGCAGGAGGGTTGAGAGAGCTTCCTGGTGGAAGAATTGAGAACGCAGCTTTGGTATGATTTTCCAATTTTATCTTCTGTAATCTCTACTCTTCATTTCTCTCTTTGAAGTCATTTTTTATGCTTCCATGTTAGGGTTTTTTAGTTGACTGATGCAATTAATTGGTCATTGACACGACACCTGTATGGATAGTGTTCTTGAGCCCTAGTTTAGCAATAGTGTCTGAATATGTTGCTGAGCCTACTTTACAGAGCTTGTTATTTATTTATCTCAAAAGTTGAAAGTTGATAGGCTATTTCACCATCTCTTGAAATTTAGCATTGAAATTCATAAAGAAGCTTGTTGTCATAGTTTTATGCTCTGCCTGCTGGCCAATTAAGCCATGACTGGTTAACACATGAAACATTGGAATAAAGTAGCAATTAAGGCATTATTAAGTTGTAGCTATAAAAACAGTGCACCATTTTAGAAGGTCTAGTAGCCAGACGGAATAGATGAAAAATATTAACACTAAATAAAAACTGCATTTAATGCACATAAGATCGCAAAAGTAATAATTCCATCTTTGTTCCCTGGGAAAATATATCTTTTGAGGAAAACTGCACCAGACCGGGCAAAAGCTCATGTGACCGGAGGTGAATTTTTTAGAGTTTCGACAGTGGGTGAAGTGGGGGGTGTTGGCTAAGATATATTGTGGTAATTTTGTTCTGTGGATTATGTTGCAAAATTAACTTCATAAGTTAAGGATTTGCTAATACCCCAAGAGTTTTTTACAGGTTGGTGTGCATCATGCTGGAATTTTCTATGAATTTGTACCATGGAATGGGTTTGTTGAGTGGGAGATTGCACCATGGGGCTACTGGAAAATTTCGGCTGATAATGGATCATACCTGGTAAGGACACCAGCATCTGAGAATTACCTCAAGTTGATATATTTATATATTCTATTTGAGAAATTTTTTAACAATACCTCATGTTGAACCAAGAACAAACAAATTTATTAATTTAAGATGAGTTCCTTTCTTATGCAAATTCAACACAAAAGAAAAAAAAAATAGTAAAATCTCTTTTATTTTCTGGAAATTACCTACTTAAATTTTTCCTCACCACGTGTAGGTGGAATTAGAGGCGAGAACAGAGGATCCAGGAACACCCTTGCGTGCTCCTACCCCAGAACATGGCCTTGCTGTTGCATGCAGAGACACCTGTTTTGGTCAACTGAAATTGCAACTGTGGGAACGAAGATCTGATGGTAGCAAGGGAAAGGTTCTTATTTTTCTGGCACTTCGTTCATTTTCTCAATATTGCTTTGAATTTTTTATCATCAGTGCATAACTAGGCTGGCGAGTTTCTGATTCAAGTAGAATAATTACTTATAAGTAATACCATAAAATATCCATATATGAGAGTAAGGCTACAAAATAAATTAACATTACTGAACCGATTTTTACTTGATAAAACTAAGTTTTGCTGATTAAAGCTATCTTATTGCTAGTTAAAATTGTTTATCATTGATCAAATTATTTGACACTGATTCTATTGGAATTTTATTAGTGTGCTGAAAGTGAGCAAGGCCAATCACAAAACAAGTATTTGTTCTACTGATTGATGTTAAACTAACATGGCTTCATTTAATTTCCCCCTTTCCCATCTCCTTTCGAAGAGTGCTTGGGGGATGAGGAATGGGAGCCATGGGGCTATTAATGTTGCTCTTTTATTGGGGGGTAAGGGCTTTGCGAAATTCTGATTTGCTAAAATGGTTAATTGTTCAAGGTTATCTTGGAGGTTACCAGTAACATGGCGGCTGTGGAGGTAGGTGGCGGACCATGGTTTGAGGCATGGAAAGGAAGAACGACAACCCCGGAGATCCTAAGCGCTGCTCTCAGGGTTCCGATAGATATGGAGTCAGTTTTTGGTTGGGTTCCATTTTTGAAACCTCCTGGCCTTTGAAGCCACAGGACATTAGTTCTGTCTAGTGCAGTGGCTGATCTATACAATGTCTTGAGAATTAGTGTATGATTTCCGACTTTTTGTATAGGTACAAGTACAAGGTAACTCCTTTGTTATTATTCTTCAAATTTTAAACTCTAATAAATATATAAATAAATAAAGGCGAGATTGAGATTTGAAAGGAAAAAAAAGGCGATATCAATTTACTTTGTTCTTGAAAGCATTTTAGTAGCAGTATTTTCAAACCAATGTTAATTTTTTTGGAAAACATCTTGCATTAATTTTCATCCACTGTTATATTATTTTCAAAATCATGTGGTTTTTATTCATTGCCATGTAATGTTATTTTCTATGCTTCGTCATCCTATTTATTTCAGGAATTCAGGAGCACCTGTGTAAAATGTGTAACAAAGTGTACCCTAAAAATTGCGGATGAATGAGGGTTTGCAACAGTAGAAATGTTCTTTTCAACCCATTTAATTGCGGATGATTATGGGTTTGCTCGAAATCTTCATTTTCAACTCATTTATTTTTCTTTAAACATTAACTACAATTATGACCCACATACATGTACGCGTCATCAATAGAATAATTTGATGATTTGATAACTACACAAGAACACAACAGTATGTTATTGGTAGGCTAGGGTTTTTTTTTTTTTTAGGATGCCCACTCGGTTCCTCAGAGTCTAGTTCCAACTACAACCGGAATTGATCCGGGTTGCAGACCTAGCTTATGGTGGGTGAGTCTCCTAACAATAATTTTTGCATACGGCAAGACTTGAACCGTGACCTCCCTTAAGTGACATCAAGTTGCTTATTACTTAAACCAACTCTTGTTGATTGATAGGGTTAGTTACACAAGTAAGCTTGTCAATCGGTGAAGTTTCCATAGTAAGCATACATATTTTTTGTCACCTAGCTAGTTCAATTTCGTTAAGTGAACTCATGCCACATACAGAGTAGATTTTTTAGAATATATTTGACTCCATATTTGAGATTAAGACTTCAATTGTTATTGTTAACAATTGTTATTTCATTTTTGTTTCCAATAGACATGTAATATTTTACACACAAAAAATATAAAATATATTACAACTATTGATAAACTTCAAAACAATATGAAATGGGTCTAGGCAACCCGAACAAGGAGGAGGAGAGTTTGGTCCACAAACAAGGCTTTGGAGCTTCCATACTAAAACCAATTGGCAACAGTAGGAGTAACTCCTCTACCTTATAAAGTGGAACTATCTCTCCTCTTTCTCCAATGTGGGACACTCACAAGTGGGCTACAATGGATTTCAACAACTATAACTTTCAATACTCATCTTATACTCGTATCTTACTCGTATATAGTATTGTTTCCAATGGCCACTTGTTAATTAAAAAAAAATTATTAAGAAAAAGGGTTTACTAAATAGGTAATTCAATTGCCTCAATAATTGGTCAATGATTTGCTAGTTTCCTACAATAAATCATAATCATCAACGATCTAATCAGACACATATAAAAATCATAAAAAATAAACAAATATATATAATCGAAAAAGTCCATTACCCCGTGATAATGCAAGGGATGGTATTAATCCCAATTATTTGACATCACATTAATAACTTACTATATTTAAAATAACTTATAACTTGATTTTAATCTTCTCTTTATAGTAGCGGTTTGTAACCGGTTCGATTTATAAGCGGCCGTCCGGTTCATAAATAGTTTGGTTTATGAACCGTTCGATTTGTAAATGGTTCAATTTATAATCAATTCGATCGGTTTATAACGATTCGGTGCATGCAAACGGGTCGCGGTTTGTTAACGGTTCGGTGTAAATGGTTTTTTTATCTCAGATCAAACGGTTTCGGGTTGGAAACGGGTTCGGGTTAGAAACATTTCGGTTCTTTTACGGTTCGGTTTTATTTCAATTCGGTTTAGAATTAGTTCGGTTCGGTTCTTATACGGTTTAACATTATTCGAATCGGTTTGGTTTCGGGTTCACTAAAATACGCTTCGGGTAAGTTTTCGATTTCAAAAAATCGGTTTTTATTCGGTTCGATTATCATTGGAGTCAGATTGATTCGGGCAGTTAAATGATTTAGGTTTTCAATTTGATCGCACTATTCACGAGACATTGAATTATTACATTCCAGAACTAGTTAAAAATCATGAAATTGTTCTATGAGAGAAAAGTAAACAATTACTCCAATGTTTTTTTGTCAGGAGTTTGAATAATTAAACAAGTTTTGATATGATCAATGAGTCAAATATAGTAAGGAGAATATTCCTAGGATAGAATGGGTAAGCAACCACACAGAAACGTCAAACACATGCATGGCTTAGGCCCCCTATTGAGTTATTGGCGTTATTGTAGTGTATAGTTTTAGTAGGAGTACCAATTAGGAAATGGAACAACTATGGAATTTATAGCATTTTAGTTTCCTTTAATCAAATTAATGAGTCACTTTTTAGCATAAAAAAATAATAATAATGAGTCACTTTACTTACGTTTTTTTTATTTGTTATGGAGTATTTTTTTTAGGAAAGTCACTTCACTTACGTATAACAAAATGATATTTATAAGGACGGGTGAAAATCGAGTTCAGGATCTGAAATCGAGAGGAAAGCTCTAATTACTACCAAAATTGCCAAAAGGTACTTGCTAGGAAAAGGAATAAGGGATGGTCCTAAATTATCTTAAATGATTCTACCATTACTAATTTACAACAATAACTTTAATTTTATACTCCATTTTCTCGTACGTATGTCGGCAATGAAAACATGGGTTCATTGTTTAAGAACTAGAAAATTGTTTTATTTGTTTTCGTATGTCGTCATTTTATTTGTTTTTTTTTTAGTTTTCTTTGTTCTCTTTGTTTTAAAAAAAATAAAAAATAAAAAGCCTAGAAAATTGTTGGGGACCTTGCGAATTAGGTCCTCCTATCTTTAAGATCGGCCTATATGGAACTCAAGGGAAGCAAGCCCTATCGATAATTGAGATAAGATTGATTCCGTTATGGAACACCTAAAAAGAAAAATTATGATTGGTAATTGAAATAAAATCGATTTTATTTTGAAATACAAAAAAAAAAAAAAAAACATATATACTCAATACGAAAGCATCTTTTAGTCTCTCCGTTTTTTAGAATATATATTTGTACAATTAAATTGTCTTTTGAATCCCCTAAATATATTAATTATTTGTGTTTCTTTCAATATTTAAAGCATCTTTTAGCGTCTCCATTTTTTTTATTTGAGTATATAATTGTATGATGACTTGTTTAATAGAGATATGCAAATAGATATAATAAAATATTATGTAAATATGTATAATGCATAAATGCCAATTTACGGTTGGCAACACCTGACCCAACTCGATAACCCGACTCGAAGTTACTGAGAGAAATCCGAATCCGACCCGACCCGAACAACCCAAATTCTACCGATTTGACCCAAATTTCATATTATTTCATAATAATATTAATTAGTTTTACACTATTTATGATAGTTTCTAAGTATAATCCGAAATCGACCCGAAATCTGACTTGAACCCGACCTTGTTAAACTCAAGGAAATATTGAAGACCTGCTGACCCGAATTGCCACCCCTAAATACCATTAGTAATTCTCTTTTAAGCTAGGGCTAGCCACTGCGCGCATCACGCACATAAGAATCCCTAGTTTCTAAATAATGACAAGGTTGATACAAAAACAAAATTCAAATAATAATAAAAAAAAAACCCCAAAAAAGATTGACACTCAATGAATAGTAAGATAAATTAGTTAATTTGTTAGGACTCGAGAAATAATTTAATTATTTTCTTTTTATATTATTAAACAACATTAAAAAAACGCGCACTATGCATGCACAATTTTAAACTAAGGTGCCAAATTGTTATAAAATATAATATAATGACAGAGTCTAATTTTTCACACCAACTATATTACTCATAAAGAATAGAAATGGTGAAACTAAAAGTGTCATTCGTCTAATCAAATACGAAGTATATTAATCAGAGCATTTTACATAAAAAAAACCCTTTAATTTGAGTTTTTTAAAGATTATTGTCAAGGTTTTCAAAAAAGGTGAATATTGGTAAATACAAAAAAAAAAAAAAAAAAAAAAAAACCCCTTTAATTTGAGGTGAATATATTAATCAGAGCATTTACATAAAAACCTTTAATTTGAGGTTTTTAAAGATTGTTGTCAAGGTTTTCAAAAAAGGTGAATATTGGTGAATTAAAAAAAAATCGTAGAATATTTTTTATTTTATCTATTTGGAAAACATAGGGATGTACGTAGTTAGGCAATTTTTATGAATATATCTTGAAGAATGTTTTTTATATTAGCAATTTTATTCAAAATACTATTAAAGTATTAAGGGTATGTTCACATTTACTAAAATGAGTTGAATTGAACTGAACTAATTGGAGCTAAAATGAACTGAACTGAAATTAAGATGAAATGAACAGGCCCTAAGTGAGGATTTGGTAAAAAAAAAGGCAACTTAAAATTTATCACCCAACAACCCTTCTTCTCTTTATATACTCTTTTCATTCTATAATTATTGACACACACTTGACTTTTTATTTTATTTTTATCCTCAACTCTTACAATAAGCATCATTAATTATGTATAAATAAATCAACTAACAACTTATTTAATTACTTATTAATATTTTATTTTATATTGATATTCAGCTAGTTAAAAAAATGAATGGACAAGATTGTTTCTTGTAAAATAATTACAATGGGTACAATCGTACGATGTTTAGGTTAACCACATACAACCTTCAATAAAAATTTCCTAGCAAAGTTCTATATATATGTGTGTTCTCCAACCCTAAAACTCCATGTCATCAATATCTTGTAAGAGAAAAAATGGGTTCTCTAACAACTATTATTTTTTTCCTCTTTGTTATTTATGCTCAAAATGGAGCACAAGGTGAAATTCCCAAAAACATCATGCATCATATTAAAGTAGCCAACAAAAATGGCCCTTATATTGGTGTTGTAATACCAAACTTATTTGAGCTCAACCCTCTTCTTCAATCTCCTAGCTTCTCTGCTAGCAAGTTTATCATTGATTTTTCAGGTATATATATTTTCAAATACGTAAATTAGTCCGTTACTAATTAAATTAACCAACTAATTAATTATTATTACACGTACTCCTTATCCTTTTTTAAATGTTTTTTTTTCATAATTATGAAAAATTATATAAACTTCATACATAACTAATATTACGCGATTTTCCTTTCTAAATCTGTCATATTATATATGATGGATTCTTAATTAAGGTAGGAGATTTCGATTCGGAACCATAGCTGATAAGAAAGTGATCTTGGTCATGACAGGACTTGGCATGGTACGTACGTAACAAATAAAAGTCATCTTCTCTTATTATTCTCTACCTTTAGATTTTTATAAAAATGAAAAGTAATTGGAATAAAGTTGAATTATTAATTCTTAAATTTCAAAGAGAAAAGTAAAACTATATGTGTAAAGGAAGAAATTTTTTGCAGGTAAACGCAGCTACAACAACTCAATTGTTGCTAAATTTATTCGAAGTAGAAGGAGTTGTACACTATGGTATTGCTGGAAATGCTGATCCTTCTCTTCATATTGGAGATGTTGCTATTCCTCAATATTGGGCTCACCTTGGTCTTTTGAATTGGCAGGTTAAGTATTTCATGTTTTCTACGAAATTACTTAGACTATATATTACGCAGTATGATCATGTACAAAAAATGATAAAGTAGGAATAAAAACTTACTTTGCATATCATCATTTTCATGTGAAAGGTCGCGTAAATATATGTAATATATATTCTTCAATATCTAATACTTTGTATGTCATATCTCTAACATTCACTACAAAACATAAAAAGTCAAAAACTACCGTCAATTAAAAAAGTAGTAAAAAATCTCTACAAGGCAAACAATCCATCTTAGCTTGACTTGACTCTTGTTATATGAAGTTCAAATTGAAAAATATTAATATGTTTATTTATATATTGTCACTATTAATATAATGTCATCACAAATTATATTACATATAATCTTAATTATAAAATAATGTTTTGATGGGTGTAGAGATTTGGACATGGACCAGAAGATGAATTAGCCCTTGAAGCAGCAGGAGATTACTCTAGGGAATACGGCAATTTAAGATTTGCTGATTACACAGCAAATGTTACTGAGGCTGATAACCTCTTGAACAGAATTTGGTATCAAGCTGAAGAGATTTTCCCAATTGATGGAGTTCCTGAGGAAAGACAACATGCCTTTTGGGTTCCTGTTGATCCTCATTACTTCGCCGTTGCCAAGAAACTTCAGGTTCTTAACAAAACCTAATCGTCGCAATAGTCAATATAGGTAGGTTTACATAATAAGTACGTAATAAATTACACATTCAAATGGAATCCAACCATTCAAAACTGATCTCTGAATCCGAATTAGCCCAGAGAGTTAATCAGGTGGAACAAAAAAAAAAAAAAAAAAACGGACTTAAAAATCAATGTTTAATATGTCCTCATGTCAAGTTATAGTAATTGCTATAATAATTAATAGTACAGATCGACTAGAATACTCAACTTGACTTGAAATAGAACATATAATCTTTGAATGTAGCCCTACATGGATCGAATGACTCGTATCCTATATTTACAACAATTCAAGGATCTAATCTAATAAAAAGATTGATTTAAAAAATATATACTACAATTAATAATTACATCATACTATTATTTAATTAAAGGTTGGACGATTTCCTATTCTACAAAATCAATTATAACACAATAATTGGAGACCAAGGCTAGACACAAGAATTAATATATATATATATGGTCATTTTCAGCTATACACCATCGTTAATTCATTCATTATATATTAGTCACGATCAAAGATCATGACCTAGCTTAGCTATATCTTTGATTAATTAATCAGCAAATTCATACAAAAAGGTTAAAAATTAATAAAATAATTATTCATTGATCATGATGCTACATCAATTAGGTCACTTTTTTGACAAACTAATAGCTGATTTCTTGTTAATGTTAACCACTGTACCCCCTCCATCCTTTAAAAAAATTCCTATTTATTATTCATGATTTCAAAATTAAATAATGTTAAGCCCGTACATATTGTATTTAGTTTGTTAACGGGCTATGTTTAGGCCCTTTGTTTAGGTTGTATATATAAATACCTTGTTTACACATCAATACAAGCTAAGGATTCACAGTATTCTTGACAAAGAAGAAAATATCGATAGAATTCTAAAAGTTGTAAATGGTAAAATCTTCAATTATGTATGAAAGTCATTTATTACGAAGTACGGGCTATATATAAGTTAAATTTTGAAAATTAACACTGAGTCGAATCCAACATAATCCCACGTGTAAACAAAGTTTCTAACAATCAGTGATCAATATGTCACCATATATAACACAAATCAAATCGAAAGATCGATCCTTAAGAAGGGTATACTATAAATATATTTTGTATTATATTTCTAATGTTGAAAATTCAATTCTATGAAATTTTATATTTTCAGACTTTAGAATTGGAGAAATGTGTGAATGCAACCACATGCTTAGAAACAACACCCAAAGTGACCACGGTATTAAGAGGAGCAAGTGCAAGTATTTACGTAGACAATGCAGCTTATAGAAGCTTTCTCTTTGACACTTTCAAGCTAAGTCCGGTTGAGATGGAGAGTGCCGGTGTGGCACTCGTATGCCACCAGCAAAGGGTTCCCCACATTACCATTCGCGCTCTCTCCGATTTAGCCGGTGGTGGTTCTGCTGAGTTTAATGAGGCTGATACTTTCTTACCGGTTGCTGCAACTAATTCTGTTCTTGTTCTTGTTGAATTTATTAAGCAGTTGTCACTTTCTAAAGCTTCTTTTTGAAATGTACGTTAAATGATTTATGCATGAAACTTAACTAAGAATGTTTTTCCTTCTTATTGAATTTATGGAATAAATTTGAATTATGAATAAGATGATGTTTGGTGCATTGATTTGATTTCGAAAATGAACTTAAAGAAAACTAAGAAACATTAGAAAAGGACAATTAAGTTGATGTTCGCATTTTTGTGTCTAAAGAATGTAGATATTACCCACCTAATAAATTATAATGTTGTACTAAGTGATACATTGTTACAATAAAGATAGGGACAACTTAATTAGTTACATGTTAATGATTGACTTATCTAATTCATGGATTCAATACTGAAATCCAAGACCTCTTGTTATCAACTTATGATACTTGAATTTTAATTTTACCAAGTAATAATCTCAAAGATTTATAGCTTTTAAGAGGAAATTAATATAATACAAGTATAGAGTGTGATGCATTAGAATCTTAGAAGTAAGGATTTTATTTATGTGCATTATCATTGTGTCTAAAGATGTAGACATTATATTACTAAAAATTTATATGATTATTGTATGCATATGGTAATCGCCCCAACGGTTTTTTTTTTTTTTTTCTTCAGAGAACCACTTACTTCTCCTTTAAATAAAAAGACCTGGCTTCTTTTATTGCTTTCAAAAAATAATTGTTTGTGTCACAATCAGTCACATGGTTTATACTATAAAGTTTGTATCATATCATCAGTAAACTTTAATTTGTTCAACCACCGATGTTGTATAATTTGGTACGGAGTTGAATGAATGCTAACTGCTTTTTATAAGTTAGTAAAGAGCGATGATAATGGAAATATCTAAATCTATACGTAAATTTGTGAAAAAAAAATACGAGTATTATCTTTGATCAATGTATATCGATCTATGTTAATGCAAGTTCATTATTAATTTCATGCATGCATGACTTGTACGAAGTACATTGTCAAGTTATAATAGACCCTTGGCGGGCGGACCTATAAAGCCTAGGTGGGGAGCAGCTGCATCCCTATTTTGTGAAAAATAAATCAGGTCCATTAGGCTCATATAGATTAAAATTAAAGAAGAAAAACCCATAAATTTGGACCTCCATTTCTAATGTCATCACTTAAAGACCGACTAACCAAGAGTCCAAGACAACTAAATACTCGCTCCGTCCCTAAATTACATTCCTCTTTCTCTCTATTATGTAAGAAATAAATGCTAGAAAGAGGAATGTAATTTAGGGGTGGAGGGAGTATAATGTTTTTTTTTAAAAAAAAAAATTGTTGGCCATCTAATCACCTTTCACGAGAGATTAGGGCCCATATTCTAATTTTGGCTCCAACTGCAGGTACCCACAAATACAAAGAGACACCTATATTTGCTACTCTCACATCTGATCTACCGCTGCCCAACCCGACTTTGCCACCGTGGCACCGTCCACCAGACACCCCTTTATAAATTTATTTTGGACTCCTATTTATTATTTTCTGGATGTGTCACTGCTGGCAAGTGTTTAGCTTCTACGAGTATTCTCTTAAAAAAGAAGAAAAAAAGCCTTAAATCAAAGTTTGTTTAACTGTAACTACCACGTCCACAGTCCACCAGTCAATCAGTAATATAAGTATTGATCAATTTCTTTTTTCTTCGTATAATTAGGCAGTAATCACGAGACATTTTAGATCGTATTTAATGACATGCAAAGACATTATCGTTCGTTGGTAAAAGGGACATGTTAATATGTTATAAGTCATGAAACACGTTGATTAATATACAAATACGAATAAATGTTAAAGCTATTGCAATTATTAGCATGATTACATTTTGAGTATTTATTTATTTTTGTGGGGCCTGATTTGCATGATACATAGACGTCCTAACGCCAAGAGGACGCACAGTAACGCCAAAAGCTTAAAATAATTCTTAGAAAATCCAAATTAGTTGATTTGATATCTTATTATGCTAAAAGTAGTTGATTAATAGATTATACTATTATAATTTTACGTTAATCTATGAGAGAGAAGACTTTAAATTTATTCCCGTTACTTCATTAGGTTAGATGACTATGACCACATGCTCGCCAGACCAATTGTCATATGTGTTATGCCCACACAAGTCTACAACAATTTTAATCAATTTTATTGAACTTACATCTTGCACTTTGTATATATTAAATTAAGAAGGAAAAAAAAACGCTTTTTTGGTGCGGCTAGTCCCATCGTGTGATAAGCTGATGCACATCAAAGTATTGATTGAGTAATACCTCCTGATTGAGTAAACCTGATCGAGTAAACTATGACCGAGAAATTTCATGTGACAAGAGTACAAGACATATATGAAAATTTTTGAAAAGGAAATTTAATAGAGAATAAAGATTTGGAAAAAGAATCTACATTATTGCTATTTATAAATTATATGTATTGAAAAAATTAGAAGGTATAACGCTGTACATTACAAAAATAGAGAGATAAGTATGTTTCATATAATGTTCTTGAATTTTTTTTTCAAAAATATAATGTTCTTGAATGGTATAGAATTGCAAATAAAATTAAAACTTTAGGGTTTGTTTGGTTTTTCGAAATCATATGATATATTTTATATAATGAATAAAAAATTGGTCAAGGTAATTTTGAAAACTGAAAACAAAAAAGTGAAAGTACTTTTTTTTTTTGTTTCCTGTTTATGGTTTTTTGTTTTAAAAAAAAAACTGAAAACTAAAAATTGAAAACAAAAAACAAAAAACGATGTCAACCAATCCCTTATTTATTAATTAGTGGCACTTGTAGATTAAACTTAAATAGGAGCAGTATATTTTATTTTGCTGATGGGCCGATGGTCCGCCAAAACACTTCGTTCAATCACTTTAACTAGTGGGCCTACTTCTAAGCAAGTTAATCAATTTATGCTAGGAATTTTTCATGAACCACTCAAATTATAGTTTTAATTCAATATTTCCATGAACCAAATTCTTTTATGGAAATTTTTTCTCCATGAACTGATGTTTGTTCATATGTGACAAAGCTATTAGCATTCTTTGCGGTTCCTTTGTTATGATAAATAAAATGGAGGAGAGACGACTGCAATAGTAAAGAACCATATACGTGAAACCTAGTTATGCACTTGTTAGTGACGAAACCTATAGTTGTCAAACATGCGTTACCTTTCATAAGTCTGGGCCACACCTGTCACAACTGTCCACTTTACACGACTAAAGAGGTTCCACCTCAAAATCATATCTCAATGAGGAAAGTAGCCTCTTAGCCTTATAAAGACACAATTATCTTCTTTTTTCAATGTGGGATACACATCTCAATACAAACTCTCACTTATACACTCAACTAATGTCTTTTTTTTTTTGTGTTTAGAGAGCCACAAGATCTCTTGGAATCGGGAGGGGAGCTCTAACCACTTGAGCTATCCCTCACTCTCTACACTCAACTAATGTGGGACAACAACCAATTGGGTGTTGGTGTAGTGGTGATTGGGACTACACTTGGTAGGGAGGACCTGTGTTCGATCCCCCGCAACAACAATTGGGAGGGGACTGGAACCTAACCGCCCACAACTGATCCCCGAATCCGGATTAGCCCAAAGGGTGAACGGTGTAGAACACCAAAAAAAAAATGTGGGACAACACACCACTCACTTATGAGTTTTCTTATGGGCTCAACAATTATCATTTACTGAATTGTATATAAATACTTGTGTTAACATTTTTGGTTGTATGGGGAACTCTTTCAGTCTCTTTAGCACAATCGATCATTGTTTATTGCTTAATGTTTGTTGTAATTTAAAGGCTCCATACATATATGATATTTAGTCGAGTCTACAATGTAAGCAAATTAAAGCAAGAGTAGAAGCAGAGGGTTGTCTCTTAATATCTAAAACCAAGTTACAGAGGTATAGAACTGAATGTTCCAGCAGTTCGCGTCTTCTGTTAAACCCAACTTCATCGCTTTGCTAATCTGCTGTGCTGGGAACAACAAAGACCGAACACATCAGTTTGCTGGTGCTGTTCAGAGCTGTAAATCCCCTGCAGCATTCCATGTGAAAGGTATAATTTACGTCGTAATGTGGATGAAGTCATAGGGTTGAAGTCAGCTTCATCTCCAGATAGATGTTACTGCATCTTAGATCCAGACAGTTAAAAAAAAAACTTTAAAAACACTGTATGACAGATAAGCTATTATTCCCTTTTCCTGAATCAGAATTTTAGTTTATTAAACAGTCTGACTAAATTAATGCAATATGAAATACGAAGTATGTATTATACTATTACAGATTAAAAATTCTTTACATTTGTTAAAGAAATAACTTGTCAGAAACCTTGTAATTAACACGATATAATATCATGTTAATGCAATATATATGTATCATGATTTAATGTCATGTTAACCCAAATAGCTTTTAGAATTTTAGTTTATTAGAGTCAGACTAAATTAATGCAATATGTATTATACTTGTATCATGTTAATTACATGGTTTCTGACAAGCTATTTCTTTAACAAATTTAGCAGAAATCTATAAGGATTTTTAATCCAATATGCAATTCTAGGGTTATACTTGCCTCCTCCATTACCAACTCATATACATGCTTAAGACCACTAGCTCAAGCTAAACATTTAGACCGCGCTTTCATCTACCAAGATTGAGTTACTCGTATTGTACAAGTGCTGATTATTCCTGATGCATACATATTCTATCAGAATTTGTCACTAGCTAATCAGCATACTTTCAAGTGTACTAAATTATTTAGTACATTGGATGGTTTGGTTTATTCTACCAATATAAGTTGCTGTTAGAATTGCAGATTGTACTAATGTAAGATCAAAGTCATCAAACTCGAAAAATGAGAACAAATAAGCATAAATTTTGTTGTTGATCTGAAGAGGTTCTAAGGAAAGAAATAAATATATAAGTGTAATATAATATCAGTATCTCTATAATGTTACAATAGGATTATATCAGTATAACATAAGGTATACAAAAACAACTACAAAAATTGAAAGAACTAGAAAGGAAACATGTAATCAAACCGATTCGTGCTCTACAATGTCATCATCAGACTTCTTGTGACTTGTGTGACTCCCAGAGGATCCGAATAATCGACAACACACAAGAAAGTACACAAAATTTATAAAACACATAAGTGCAACCAACCAATAATAGTAGTCTACATGACCCTTATTAAGGTTGCTTGATAACCAACTGATCTTCCCACCAGTACTAGTGATAGTATCAACAAGCTCAACCAAGAGCGTGCCCACGATACTAGATACCGCCATTCCTAGAGTAAATATAGCCATTGCAATACTTGACATACTCTTGGAAAGATGAGAATAATAGAACTCTATCTGCCCTACCGCGTTTAACCCCTCAGCAAGTCCTAGCAGCACAAGCTGTGGTACTAACCACATAGCCGACATGTCGAGTACTCCCCTAGGATTATCTTGCAGGCCGTGGTTGATTGCAGCTTTTCGTCTAACTGATTCAACAATAGCAGCAACTATCAGTGCCACACATGATAATAGTAACCCGAGTCCCATACGAACCTTGGGTGTTAGCCCTCGCGGCATGCCACAGAACTTGGACATCAAAGGTACAACAGCGCGGTCATAGAATGCTACCCAAAATGTGATGGTTACTACTGAAAAGACAGTGAAAGAACCAGCAGGGATTTCGAATTTTGGAGTAATATGTCGATCCATGGATTTCGCTTGAAGGGTTGTGTAGCTGTTGTTCATGGCTACTAGCATCATGATTCCAGTAGTCCACATTGGCATGATTCTTAGAATTGATTTCAGATTTTCTACTCGCTCTACTGTGCATAGGCTCCATGGTTTCGATGCTGATCCGTCTGGTTTCAAGTCATTTACAGGATCCACAATTACACAAGCTTTGTTCAAACACCTACAAGATGCAAAAGACACTAACACAATCAACTACACAAAGTAGACTTATTGAACTACACAAAGTAGACTAGTTGAGTACAAACATAGACTCTTGATTTCGCCTATTACAAGTGATAAGAGTATAAAACATATTCCTGGACCTCAATCATCAGTTTAAGCTTGTGTGAGGTTCAGGAATAGTGGCCAGTGATTAGCCACTTTAACATGAATGGTCAGAATGAGCCACAAGAGCAATACAAATTGAAGTAGGAGGGGATTTGAATCAACGACCTAATGTAATCAGACTCACAGTCTTAATTAACCACTAGGTCAAGACCTCATTGAAACTTAACCATGAACATTAGCACTTAAAATTAGCCTTAACATAGGTGAATATCATCACTTACTAAACAATCAAGTCATAAACACGAACATGTATCAAGCAATAAGGTTGGATATGTATCGATTTCGAGTTCTGAAGAAGACATGAGAGTATAAGAAGAGTACCTTAAACTGTCACTAGGAACTTTTTTCTCAGAACCATTATTTCCACCAAAGTAAAGCTCTTCAGCATCAATAGGAGGAAGACTAACATTCCTTTTCCGAAAGGCGGCAACCGGAACTTGAAACATACCAATAAACAAGCTGTCCTTAGCCTTGACATGAACATACAACGGTGACCCGAAAAAGAAGGCTACAAGAGAAAGGATCATAAGACAAACAGGCACCCCAAACCCGATCGGCCACCCGAATTTATCTTGAATGAACACAATAACTGTTAATGCAATGATAGTTGCCAACCCTGTTGAGGCATAATACCAGTTGAAAAAACTATCTAGAACTCTCTCATTGTTGGGATTGTCTTTGTTGCTTACTTGATCAGCTCCGAAGGCTAACGAACACGGCCTCACGCAACCGGCTCCAATTGAGATCAGGCCGAAAGAACCGAACAAGACCAGGAATTGGATCGGTGTAGCTGATGAACAACTCTCAGAACTTGACCTTGCACAAGGTGCTGGTTTTAGTGCTGGGACTACCGAAGTCAACCATAGTAAACTTGTTCCCTGTTAAAAATGATCATGACTTATTATTATGTGTTGTTAAAAATTAAATACGACATGCTTGAATTGGGGGTAATATATGATTAACGACATACCAGGGTAATAAGAGAAAATAAAGAGGAATTTCTTTTTATTTTCTCTTATTACCTCCAATCCAAGCATGTCGTAAGTTAAAGTTACTTAAAAAAAAACTCCATCTAAAAGTTAAACTTACAAGAAGACTGCAGAAGGTCCCGAAAGCAATGACCCGAAATCGACCAAAGTAAGAATCGGAGAGAAAACCTCCAACAATGGCTAACGCATTCGAAATTCCGGACCATAGTGATAATACAATAACCCCCTTTGCAGCTTCCAAGTGATAAACATTCATCAAGTAAAATATCATGTTTGGCAACAAACCATAACTTGCTACTTTCTCAAATGCCTCATTCACTGCTCACCAAATGAAAAAAACATAAGTTAAATCAAAGGACCCCCTTTATCATATAACAACTAGTTTTTAAATAATTCATGCTCATTAAAATGAGTATAAGTATATGTTGATATCCGAGATTGAGCAATCTGACACACATGAACTAGCAGCTCTAGCTAGCACTTGCTATGAACTAAGATTGACCAATCTCGGATATTAACATAGAAAAGTCTAGCACTTGCTATGAGCTAATTAAGATCGATCAATCTCAGATATAAACATAAAAAGACGGCGAAATTATTAGAATGTACTTACCAATAATAAAAGGCATGGTAATTATACCACCCTTTTTCTTAGACTTAGGAGTAGTTTCATGCTGATCTGAGTTATTATTATCAGGTAAAATCGCCATTTTTTCCATCTTCTCTTCTGTCAATTCTACACTGCTTTCTTCTAAAGCCATTTGTAAAATTTTCTATTTATATATAGTGAATTGAAGTATTTTTGTGGTATACTATATGATATGATCTTCTAGGAAATGAGAAATTTGGGACAAATTATTTGGAGTGTGACTTTTTATAACATATGGAGTTTGAAAAGCTGTACACGCTAGTTGATTTAATGCTTTCATAGTGTTTGAGTCAATAGCCAAATACTTTACCATCACTTTTAAATGATAATATAATTTACTTTAAACAAAAATTAAAATATTGTTTTTTTTATTTCCTCCAAAAAAAATAAAAAATAAAATATGGTTTTGTTTACCATTAAATTGAGCGCGTGACCCTCGTGGGTAATCCTCAGGAAATATCCTAAAAAGGTAATAATACAAATACAATAGAGATATTCCTGTGTTCCATTTTTGTCTATTTTATTAGCTATACTAGTGGGTGTTATAGTGATTTTATTGCTTTGATGTTGGCATTCAACGGTGATAAGAGTATAATGAATTAATCTTCAATTTCATCGTCAGCTTAAATTTTTGGTTAAGAATATGATATCAAGAGTTAGTATAATTAAAAAAAAAAAAAAAGACAAAGACAAAAACGTTAGTTTAAATCTTATTTATCCCTCATTTAAATCAAAATTAAGTTAATGCATGGTTTTAATATCAAGATTGGTTTACATACAATACATACTCATTTAGATGATTAAGTTTTGAGTGATATCCATGGATCGAATTTTGAATATTACTTGGTGAATGCCTTTGATGTATAGTTTACTCGACGGAGTAAATTCTGTATTAATCATTTTATTTTGTTATTCAATATGAATACTCTCTTTCAAGTTTCAACTACCATCTTTTCCTATGATCCTCAATCCTATTGTGCTTGTTGTTTTGTATTGTGAAAACATGTGTGTACATTAAATTGACTATATGTTAACATGGACAATGTACAAGTGGTGGTTTTGAAAATTTTCTAACTTATGATTTAGACGTTCTGTGAATATTACGCGTTTTTATAGAGATTATTCATAGAAAGGTATATGGCATAAAACTGCTCTAAACTAAGAAAAATATGGACAATATACAAGTGATATGGTTTGAAAATTTTCTACTTTAATTTATGATTTAGACATTCTGTTGATATTACGCGTTTTTATAGAGATTATTCATCGGAAAATTATATAGTAGAGGAATAATCGGTTGTTGGACAATCACCCTAAACCAAACAATATTTCTACCTAAACAAACCTAAGAAAAGTCTAGGGTATGTAGAGAATCGTATCTACTGGGAATGGATAAAGAACACCAAGAGTATGAACAGTTGTAAGCTAATTCGATCACAAATTGGGGTTTGATTAGTAAACTACTATAGAGATGAACGCTAGGGGAGACGGGATTCAACACCAATCAAACCAAATAATCAATAGGATAAATCATGAGCATACATGGGTAATAAATTAAAAACTTAACATTGTCTTCTTCAAATTCACAATATAAGTATTTCCTAGATCAAACACTAACATAACAAGGATTAAGTATCAAGGATAGGAAGTGGGTTTTTAGTTCGCGTTTGTCTCTCGATCGCTCTAAACTAGCATGAAGCACAAATAATTGGGATTTCTCACCTAATTACCACACTAAAGCATCCTATTCAATGGAATCAAACATCCATAATCATGAAATTAGTATAATCTAATTGCACAAGAAAGGACTCACTCGTATTCTTAAACCCCATCTTTCAATTTAAGTAGGGGAATGAACACATGAGCATAAAGTGGTCACCAAAATACACATGCAACAATCATTTCAAGCACAAACAACTATCAATCCAAAGTAGAACATAAATAAATTCAAATCAATCAACCACGGCTTGGTTGGGTGAACATGAATAAGTCCAATCAATCAACCAACCATGGATTGATTGGGTTTTCACCCAAGCTCTAACTAAGGAACTACTCACTAAACATGGTGAAAAATAATCTAACAATTCAATTAAATCTAAGGTTAACATAAATTCAAATAAACTTGGAAAGAGATAAAACAAGAATGGATTGAATATGCAAGAACAATTAAGCAAGATTAAGGAAGAAATTAACAATTCAAAGTAAATAAAAACAAATTTTAAAGGAGATATAGGAAAGAGATTACTTAAAATGCTTTAAAGTTGAGAAATACTTGAAATTAAGAGAATAATTAATCTTCAATTACTCCTTACAAATGATTGAGTTGAAAAGATCTAAGCTAATTAATGAGAGTTCTAAGAAACTAAGGGCCTAAGAAGACTAAAGGGAAGAAGGTCCGTAAAAAATGGAAGTCAATGGTCGTATTTATACTCCCAAAAATTACATCGTAGAATCCGTCAAAATCGGCTTCCAAAACGAGAGGAGCGCCCGCTTCTGCTGTAATAGGTTGGGAAGAATGGAGGAGCTCGGCTAGGAGCACCTGCTCTTCCTTCAGTGCACGACCGCTCCACTAAGATCAATCCCAAGGCAGTTTGTGAAGATGCATGAAGGAGCGTCCGCTCCTCTCGAGGTCCACGCCCGCTCCTAAGCTTGCTGTGAACTCTTAGGTGTGTTTTGGAGTTTAAGGAAAACCTTAACCTTGCCTTTGTACCTTTAGGCACGAGCATACACACAAGAGGAGTAGAAATACCAAAAGCTACAATTATGTACAAAAATGAGATAGAAAGAGGTATTGAAGTAGGGGAAAGAATACAAAATCATGTTTAAAATGTCATGATAAGTGGACAAATAAAACACTTATCAGTATATAGCACAAAACTGTTCTAAATTAAACTAAGCAAAATTAACCAACATTTTAGAGTTTACATACCACATAAATATCCTCTTATCCATCCTAGGGTCTTCGTATATTGAGGCTAAATTAAAGATTCTCACTATCCACATAAAAGCATGGTAAGACATACCCAAGCTAGCATGGGGCAAGTGTAACATGCACGACACATGACTAGCCAGTAGGTTAGTAGGTTATGTTGTGGCCCTTGTGGGTCAAGACTAACAAATTTCATGCACGGAGAGATACAAATTACTAGCAAGTAGATAGACATAGAACTTAATTAAGATATATACATGGTGTTTGGTTGGCATAACTATAGATTGGATTTTAAGTCAATGATAGTAAGTTGACATTTTCCACTTATTTCTGATTGAATACAATGTTGAAAGAAATAACTTAATCAAAACCTTAAACTAATAATTGAGACCTAGGAATATGATTTTATACTCTATCGGATAATGTTATGCTGAACAACCATAAGCATGATAAAAGCTAGGCATTAAAGATATTTTCCAGTTGAACAACCATTAACATATTGAATGTTGGTGACATCATCGAAAATTTATCCTCCCATTAAAACCCCAATGTGAGTATTAAGTAGCAAATATCTAATCAGCATCTCAAAGATAAGCCTTTAGTATTGGCAATCAAAAAGATCTTCCATTAGGGAAACGCTACTTATTTGTTCATCTTGTATGTCTTGATTTTTTTTTTTATTTTTTTAAATGGGATAAGGGAAAGGTGATTTCATTGAATAAAAGTCCAACGGACACTTACCAATTACCACATAATTGACTACACTTACTATGATATTGAGCTTCTGATCTGCTCTCGAAAATTTTATTTTAAAAGTCTTTGCATCTATCGTTCTTCATAGTGTATTGAAGCTTACCATCGATAATTTATTAATGTATATATACAATTAGACTCTTGATTCAAATAAATTTGAACCACGAACCTTCCAAATTTAGTTTGCATCCTTGCACACACTAAAAACAAACAACACTAACAATATCCCACCATGACTAACAATAAATATGAGAGAGTCAACTATACCCGAAAAGAAATATTGTAAGTGATCTATACTAACTAAAGAACTAGAAAAAGAAAAAGAATTTAAAGCTTACCATCGATAATTTATAAATGACAACCCTAGATTAAACAATGATAGGTACATTTGAAAAGAGAGAACAAAGAATTTAGGGTAGAGCTGATCAAGTGCGTACGTATTTTATATTTTACTCTAACCTTCTTTAATAGGAAGTATTTCAAAGGAACAATACTTCATACATACTACATAAATTAGGGTTATGTACGAAAGGGAAACCTATCTTTTTTATATATATGTTTTTTTTTTTAAACAATTTATATGATTTTAATATTCATAACAGTAGATTTTATGTGTAGTACTTGTATTAAAAGTCTATAAAAGTTGATCATAAGAATCAAAGTGTAAAAATTAAGACACTAGTACCCTATTATTATTATTATTATTATTATTATTATTATTATTATTATAAAATATCAAAAAACTTACAAACTCAATCAATTTACAAGAAATTGGTGGGGAGCCGAGATACAATTTAGGGCCCCACCCTTCCAGCTATAGCGAATCCGATCATGCTGAAGATGTAAGCAACTGCACAAGCACTAATATCCTGAGTCTTAACGAACGCCTGAACCCGCTTCAACAACGCAACGACATCATTCTCTAATTCACCTAACGAATTATTATTATTATTATTAGAGTAGACAATCAAATTTGGTTTATGTTATAATGACAAATATAATTTTATTAAATGTACATGCATCATAAATTGTGGAGTTGTGGGGGATATTCCCTCATATGTATGTTGACTTTTCATACGAGTTGTATTTAGCTTGACATGTTTCCTCATCATTCTTGTACGGGACTAAGGAAGTGCTTTGACCAATACAATGTGAACACTTGCATTGATCACCTTTGACCGCCGCAAAAATTCTATACTTGTTTTTTTATTTCTCAAATTTTTTTATTAGTGTTCCGTACTATGGATTGAATTTGATATGTACCGATACAATGTTAGTTTTCCCTCCCTAGTAATATATGCACTAATACTATTACTATTAATCTACTATGGATAATGACCTTTTGTCTACAAAGAAAGGCATAATTCGGGTGATCTATTAACAATAATTATTTACTCAATTCAAATTAGATGACAACTTTCACAACTTGCCAATTTGCATAACGCAATAATTTATTTATGCTGATTTCGACATGTTTAGAGACAAGTAGTTAACAATGTTATTGCCAGTAAAATATGTTATTAGATCATGTAAACATTATATAACATCAATAAAAATCCAACTTCAGAGTGAGGGATAGCTCAAGCGGTTAGAGCTCCTTCCA